GCGGCGGCCCAGGCGGCGACGAACTCGCCCAGGGTGGCGGCGTCGGCGGCCTTGTGCCAGAGGACGAGGGAGAGGGCGGCGCCGCCGCAGGCGAAGTGGCTGAGTTGGACGAGGGCCGGGCTGGAGCCCGGCCCGGGCTCGTAGTCCCAGGTGACGGGGCACGGGAGGAGGTGGCGCGGGAGGGCCTCGTCGGGCTTGGAGAGGAGGTCCGACAGGCGGGTGGCCGGGAAGCGGACGACGGTGAAGGGGACGCCTTGGTCGTGGCAGTCGATGGACTGACCGTCCGGGTTGACCCGGCCGGCAAGCGGGTAGAATCGGGTCAGGATTACGGATAGGGAGCGCCTGAGCTGGTTCGTCGACCGGGCGGCGAAAGAGTGGGGATCGTCGGGGGAGGCGGTGTCGGTGGGGTAAGGGTAGCAGAGGACGAGAGGTACAAGCATGGAAGGGACTATCTGGTCGAGCATTGAGAAGTTGTACCTTTGCTGGCTCTGAGGAGTTGGTGAAGATGGTGGGACGTTCTCTGTGGAGATAATCTCTCTTTCCATTTTTTTTTTTTTTTTTTTNNTTTGCCTTTAATGGTATGGAGGATAATGGTTCAAGCTGTATTTGAATGGGAAAAGGCCTTTGAGAAGGCCAAGGCTTTACGTGCTCTTGTATTTTATAGAGAAATAAAACGTGACAATAAATAAGTAGTACACTGTACCAAAAAAAATAAATAAGTAGTACATAGTAGCCCGTGAGATAAACGTGACAATAATTATAAATTATATGTATTGAAATAATGAAGCAATATTGATTAGTATAAAAATATTTTTGAATATTGATATTAAATTTTTCTTATATTTTATGAAATATAATAATTTAATATATGAGTTGTATGTTTATTTCATTCGTTATAAAATAATAGTCATTTAGAGTTTCTGTTTATAATTAAGGATACTAAAAGTTTATGAATAATGCTACTTGTACCCCCTTGGCGTACCACTTGATCTCCATCCAAGGGGTACATGTATCCCTTGTATGTAAACCAAGTGGTACACCAAGGGGTACATGTAGCATGATCCAAAGTTTATTTGCTGATTTATAAAAGTTATTATTTTAGATTATTCCATCAAATTCTTTCAATATATGTGGATATAGATTAATTTTTCAATATATGTAGATATAGATTAATTGTTGATTTGTAATGTAATGTAACTAAATTTACATTTCTTTATTGATATGTAAAATTGTTTTAAATATATAGTTTTTTTTTTCGGAACGATAGAGATATTTATAAATAAAACGTACAAATGTGCAAAGATACAACCCCTAGCTGAACTACGCAGCCAACAACTGAGAAAACAGAGAGGACAGATCCGGAGATCAGAGCACATTTTTGTGTATCTGACATTTATGGAAAAGCGGGGTGTTACAGTATCTGTAACACCCCGCTATGTCGTAAATATCAGAGTTAAATTTTCGCAAAACCTTTTAATAAAAATTACTGATTAGTTTGCGAAATCATGTTTCGGAGTGCTACCATAGCAATAACGTTACCTGGAAAACCGTTATTTTAATTTTAAAGAAAAACGGTTTATCATGACATAACCACCCGACTAGTGATCGGATAAAAAAACTAAGTTTGGCAAACAGTCAAAATCAGCAGAAAACGTAGCGTGGCAAAACATTTTAAACTCCCCTACAAGAGATAGCAACAGCACTGCTAGGCCAAATTCAAACATGTAAACAAAAGCCTGAACCGCCCGCCAGCTCATGCCTCTGGTCCGACTCTGTGACTTGAAAACATAGATAAACATGGGTTGTGAGCACTAAAGTCCGCTGTGCTCCGTAGGAACTCATACTAAAGTAAATAGTGAAAATAATTGCAATATCATGATCCTGGCATATACATAACCTGAACATGAAACTGGTATAATCATAACCTGATAATCATCCCATGACCGTTACCTCATTTGCCAGCATAAAAAAAATGTCGGACACCATGTGCACACTCTAGTGGGCAGACTAGGACCACTAGAACCCAGAATGGACCAGCGACCATTCCAAGCGGATACATGACATGATAATACATACCTCAAACATGGTAGAGTAATTATAATCAATGTAATACTCAGTCTAGATACTGACGCTCGCCATGCTAGAAACCGAACGACACACACGAAACACAATACACAACCTACACTGAAAATGCTCCGCAAAGGAGAATAAGGACGACCCCCACAGGGTAATTCGGACTCACAGAGGCCAATGACCCAAACCAAAAACACGATCCTAAACAACAAAGACAAATAAAAGGACAGAAGAAGAAAAAAAATCTAAAATCAAGCCCTTCTCCAGTTGGTAAGCGGGCCCGACCAGCAGAGAACAATCGATCCAAAGAAGATCCCGAGCCCAGATACAACTACCGAAACTGCGAATTGCCTATACAGTAGTCGCACATGAGCTCCAAACCTAGCCCGAAAACGATCCTGCCCCGACCAAGAGAACGAAGACCCACTCCCACACCGTCACGACCCTAATTCGACTATCACCACTAGTCGAAATCAGGTGCTCCAGACCCCACCCGACCCCAACAGCAGAGAACCGGGGGAGAGAGGGAGTGGCTCGGTCCTACAACCCCAGCTTCACCGGCGAGAGACACCATAGCTGCTGGAGCCCCACCCCACCCCACCTGACCCTCCTATCGGCAATCACCGCAGTCCGCCAGCAACCACAACGAAAGCCCCGTCGGAGCCCGCCAGAGAAGCGGAGCCGCCTCCAATCACCGCAATATCAGATTTAAGGGGCAAACACCACCAATCGGGACCAACCTGCAATCAGCACCATCAATCACAAGACCAATCGCCGGCCGTGGAGCTCACCATCTTCAATCTTGATTTCGCCGGCAACCAAGGGTAGCGGAAGATCGTCAAGCTCCGATTCACCACAACAACAGCAAACGAAAGAAAAGACATGGAGAGGGACGAGCGGTCAAGGGTGACGGCAGGCCGAAGCCACGCCGCCGACGAGGAAGGCAACACGGAGCGAGGAATGAAGACGGTGGAAGGGTTTTTTTTTTCTTTGTCGCGAGAGAGGGTTAAAAGATGTGGTGCATGTATTTGTTTTAAATATATAGTTACTTATCAAATAATGCCAAACCAAATTCACATTCAAAATTAGCAAACTATGGCATATTAAATGCATTAAAATGCCTTAATTTTTTTTGTAAATTAGCCTATAAATTAATAATATCATAATGCATATTTAGTTTATCATAGCGCTTATTTAGTTTGTTTGAGGTTCAATCATAGCCATTTATTTGTGTACATGAATGGATCATATTAATCAATTGAAATTTACATTAATTATATAATAAAGAATATTAATTGTTATATTTAAATATTATATGATATGCACATTTAATTGCAAATTTTTGTTGCATATTTAGTTCATTCAAAATACGCATTTAGTTCATAGTTAGTACATATTTACTTATTTAGTTCTTATATAGTGTATGATTAGTTGATATTATTGTTGAATATTTATTATAAAATTATTTAATATACTATTTTATTGTTTTTATTATATAATTAATGCAATACATAATGCATATTTGGTTTATTATTATGCATATGTAGTTCATTATAGTACATATTTATTATATTTAAATAAATTATATACATAATGAATATTTAGTTAATAAAAAATACATATTTGTTCATCATAGTGCATATTTGCTATATTTAGATTAAAGATATACATAGTGCATATTTAGTTCATTCATTATGCATATTTAGTTCATACCAAATGCATATTTAATTCATCATAGTGTATACTCATTATATTTAAATTAATCTATACTTATATAAAAAGTCATCTTATTTACCAAAAATAGTAGTAAGAAAAGTCAACTCACATTTAATGCGTACCTTATTTGAAAATTTTTTACTATATCATTAATTACTTGCATATATACATTTCCTATTCAGATATGATAAAAAGATTCTTTCTATAAATATTTTTATTAACTTCTGCAATTATTTTACTGATATTCATTATAATTAATATTTGTCGATAATATTTTTTAATTTTATTTGAGTGTATAAAACAAATAATTTTTTTAAATTAATATTATTTACCATTTGAGAGATAATGATCACATCATTAAATGATTTTACTGATGTCTAGATAATAAAATTAAAATACAATAATTATTCTTTAAAATTTTTGCATGTTATTTATTTGTATATTATTGTCAACCATGATAATATTTTTATCACTTTGGTTTATATGTTTCTATAATGAAGTTATTGTAAAACATTTTTCTCGCTTAGTATGTTAAATAAACTATAAAGTCTTAGGATGAAAATTAGAAAAAATCTCTTGATTATGTAAGGGATTTATTTTTTGTCAATTGCTAAATGAAGTTTTTTTTTTTAAAAAAAAAAAAAAATATTAAGAGAAAATTCAATTCTAAAAAATATGTGTGTGTATTTTATAAACATTTATACATAAAATTTAATTTTCAAATTCATTACATAAATTAATAAGAAAAAGACTTCCATATCTTTTATAAAAAAAGATAATGACATTATATGATAAAAATTTTATAACAAAATAATAGTTCAATATTATCAGATTTTTTTTGAATGATATTCAAGAAAAAAGTATTATAGAAAAGTTATGGTGAAAACTAATAAATAAAATTTGTATTTTTTCTTATATCAATGAAATATATTCTAAAATCAAATTTATATAAGTATAACGTGTTAGCGGAATAATATACTAATTAACATATTAATTTTTTGACTAAAATAAATGTCATTTATTAAAAGATGTGGAATATGAATGATCCAAGCTTATTGTTTTTTTGCTTAAAGGTACAAGTTATATGAAAATAATTGATTTATTATATGTATCACGTGCATAGCACGGGCTATGCACTAGTTATATGGACAACACACATTTAGTTCATTAATTATGCATATTTCGGTTATAAGAAATGCATATTTAGGTCACCATAGTGCATGTTTATTATAATTAAATTAATGATATACATTATAGGTAATTATAGTTCATTAATTATGCGTATTTAGGTAATAAAAAATGTATATTTACTTTATACATAATACATATTACAATTAACGGTCAACGACAAATGTCAACGGTGAACGCCATAAGTCAAGGGGTCTCAACGGCCAACACGAAAGTCAATGGTCAACAATCAAAAAAATATTTAAATACTTAAAATAAAAAATAAAAGATTAAACCTTGTCCACACATCTCGATTCATATTTAAGAGTTAGAATTGAGTCTCACATACTCATTTTAAATATGTGGACTCACCGAAACCAATCCACACACACACACATGTTGGAAATATCAATTATAAACTTGGGTCTGACCCAGTTTTGACTGAATTTTTGATAGATAAATATTTAATTTGAGTTGAATTAAATATTGTAGAAAAATTCTACGTTCCGAGTAGATACTCGTGGTATATTTATTTTCTCAAAACTGATTTTCGATGAGTGAGAAATAAATTGTTAAAGTTAGCCATAAA